CGAACCCAGGAGAGAGGTGGTGGGTGCCTTGGGAGGAACGGTTGATGAAAGGGCTGGAGGGAGGCAGCATGTCTGGCCTTGCAGTAATAGGCCTTGGGTTACTGCTGGTAATCCTGCCTTCCCCTTGTAGGGTTAGAGGAGGTCAGAACATGTGGCCTCCTTGTCGTTTTTGCAACTTGTATTTGAATTAGTAAAGATATGTTTTTCAAAATTTTTTCCCAATTAATTAAGAACAAAATGATAGAGAATTATAGCAGTATATAAAAAAAATAGAAGTGTGATAGAGAGCATAAAAAAAAAAAGAAAAATTCAAGCAAAAATGCTTTGACTAAATTCATAGAAGTGCAACAATGTTTTATGTTTGTGTTCCTTTTAATAGTCATTATTATGATTTTTTTTGTTGTTCTTGTTTATGTGGTGTGTGTGTACACTAACTACGAGCTAGGCTCTGTGTTAAGTGGTTTACAAACATTATTTTATTTCTTTTATTCTTACAACCATTCTGGAAGGCAGACATCTTATTCTCTGTATAAGAAAAAAAAGTGGAATTACAGAAAGTTTGTCACAGAGTTAGTTGATAGTAAAGCTTGGACCTGAATTCAGTCTGACTTCAGAGTTCATACTCTTAAGTACTCTCCTAAACTGCCACCCTAGTTTTATAAGTTTGATTTAATTGGTAAGTTTATTGTAAATCGTAGTCCTTTCAAGACATACCAGTTAAATAAGAAAATTTGCTGTTTGGGTATATCCAGTCTTAATTCAGTATATTGTTAAACTTCATCATTAACTAGTACCTAAAGCACTTGACTGCTAACGTAGTGATACCACCTCGGAAACCAAAGGAGGGGTGGCTATGAGTCAGATCCAACTCGACAGCACATAACAACAACAGACCATGATTTTAACCCACAGTTTCCTATTGTATTCAAAGATGTTTTTGTAACTGTGTTGTAGTACTTTGATTATTAATTAATCATTAAAATAATCTGCAGGGAAATTATTAGCTTTAAATGAGCTCCATTTCATTCTATTTTAGAGGATTTATATATTTGTATCTATATTATACATATGCCTATTTACATAAATGTTATACCAAACCCAAACCACATTCACTGCCATCGAGTTGATTCTGACTCATAGCAACTCCCATTGGGTTTCTAAGGCTGTAAATCTTTATAGAAGCAGGCTGCCTCATCTTTCTTCCATGGAGCAGTTGATGGGTTCTAACCACTGATTTTTTAGTTAGCAGTTAAGTTCCTTAACCACTACATCACCAGAGCTGCTTACATTTACATTATATATAATTAAAGTAGTGTAATGATTGAGTACATTTTCTTATTTTTCATTCAGTTTATTTTTCAAAAATTGAAATTATGTCACCATCTAAAAACAAAGCTTTATACTAAAATTAATTACAGCTAGGTTTGTTTATTTATTTTAATGGTAAATTTTTAGAGTCTGGAAAACATCATTGCAACTGTGATTTCATTTTTACAATGTAATTCTTTTTTTGTGTGTTAGATAGCAGATTGGCTGGAAATTTTGAGAAAATGTCTGGATCATCCAAATTGAAAGCTATTCCCAAAACAGACCACAAATATTTTTATGTTCACATACTAGAATTAAAGAAGGAAAAATGTGAAACCTGTGACAGAAAACTTCCTTGCCTATGAACTGTCCAGTGCTACATGACTCTTTATTCACAGTCAGTACAATTATGCCAGTGATTTCTTAATGGTGAGGAAAGTAGTTTATTTGTATTATATCCATTTAATTATATTTTTTATTGAGGTAATACATAAATGCAATAAAGTGCACATTTCTTAAGCATGCAGGTACAACTCAGTAAATTTTCACATTAATGTAGCTCTGTAAGTACTACACGCACTAAGATCTAGGCCATTTCCAGTATACCTGTTTTTAATCTACATCGTATCATTATGCTATTTGTGGGGTGAGTTCACTGTTTTGATAAAATATTTTTTATTAAAATATTAATCAGTGTACATTTGAAGAAATTGAAATTACTTTGGATCAGTAGAAAGATTGATACAGCAGGAAGAATCTTATTTTTGGAATCACATGAGAACCAGTAATTACCATACTGTGCCAACAGCAAAGTTTTCCTTGCTGTATTGATGCAGACTATTTTGGTAGCAAATGAGAGGAGCTCTACCTCAGCCAGTTGTTGTTCCCAGAGGGATTATTGAGTCCAGTAATAATGCACATCCTTGGAAATTGTAAGATGTTTTGGTTAAAAGAAATAATAACTTTTTTTCTTAGACACTATTGTGAGGGAGTGAGATGGATTAGTAAATGAAAACTAACGTTTAAATAAATTACTGTTGTAGGAATATATATTATTTAATATAACAGATTGACTATATCAGCATTATGCTGGTTTTACTCAATATTATTGAATCATTGTTGGTATTATTGAATCATTGTTTCTTATTTGCATTGGTATTCTCATTACAGTGAAAGTAATTTTTCTCCTAAGTTTAATGAAAAGGATGGACATGTTGAGAGAAAAAGCCAGAATGGCCGTTGATTTTACTCAATATTGTTGAATCATTGTTGGTATTATTGAATCATTGTTTCTTATTTGCATTGGTATTCTCATTACAGTGAAAGTAATTTTTCTCCTAAGTTTAATGAGAAGGATGGACATGTTGAGAGAAAGAGTCAGAATGGCCTGTATGAGATTGAAAATGGAAGACCTAGGTAGGTACTGTGAATGGAGCATCTTACAACAATGGGTTTTAATAAAATGCAAGACATAATTAACATTTACCGAGTGCTTGTGTGTACCAGGTATGGTACAAAATAATTTACATATGTGATCTAATTAAATTTTCACAATAACCTGTGGGTAGATATTCTTAGTTCTATTTTAGATAAAGAGAGTATAAGCAAATTGTATACAGCGTATAAGTGGCAGAGTTAAGATTTCAGTCTTTTTTGTAACTCCACCTTGACGGGATAAATAAATAAATAAATTAACAAACAAAGGATTGAAAATTTTATCTTAATAGTTCATTTATGAAATGAAACAGTAACTTAAAGTACCACACCTGTCTGTCAGTTTGTCATTTTGTCATGGTCTGTGCATTGCTGTGATGCTGAAAGGTCAGCTACCAATATTTTAAAAACCAGCAGGGTTATCCAGGGTGTACAGGTTTCATTGAAGCTTCCAGACTAAGAGAAAGGGACTGATCTACTTCTGAAAATTAGTCATGAAAACTTTATGAATTACAACAGAACATTATGATATTGGTAAAGTAGTAGATAGTGAAAATGAAGGAAACCCACCATGAGATGGATCAGTGGGGTGTCGGATATACCAGTAGTTGTGAAGATGTGCAGGGTAGGGCAGTGTTTTGTCCTGTTATACATAAGTTGCTATGAGTTGCAGCTTCCTCCAAAGCAACTAACAACAGTCTTAAAGTGGGAATATTTCTAAACACATATGAATAAATCAAACCAAACCAAACAATAATTTAACATCAAAGTTCTTTGCATACTTTTAAAAAATATTTTCTATAAAATTCCAAAATTACCCATTTTCATTAAGACATTTTAAAAGTTAGAAAGCTAACCCATTGCTGTCTAGTTAGTTCTGAGTTATAACAACATTATAGGACAGACTAGAACTGCACCATTGGGTCTCTAAGGCTGTAAATCTTTTTTTTTTTTTTTTTTAATAACAACAAACTTTAGGGCTGTAAATCTTTATGGAGGTAAACTGTCACATCTTTCTCCTATGAAGCACTTGGTAGATTTGAACCACCAACTTTTCAGTTTCCAGCTGATCACTTAACCACTCTGCCACCAGGGTTTCTTATATAAAAGTTAAAATGCCACAAATAAAACAAAAGAAGGACCATAGATTTGTCATCATGGTAATCACCTTATAAAAATGTTGCAAGTATCTGCTAGTTCTTCTAGAACATGAAAATCATAGTACTCCCAACCCCAACCAACTTTGTCCTCCGGTTTTGGTAAAATATTCCTTTGCTCATCTTTCTGCATTATTTGTTACTGAGGTTTTTTTAAAGTCATTTCTGGCATTTGACTTAAATCTTGGGTTCTTTTCTGGGTAAAAGATATGTTCGTGTATAAAAAGATAGGAAAGCCAAGAAGCATGCTTGATTAAAAAATCAAGACTGAATAATGGAAACTGTGGTAGTTAAAGGTGTGTCAGTTTGACTGGGCCTGGTTTTGAGGGGCTGGGCATCTGAATGTAGTAATTCCTCATGGTAAGACTGGTAATTACCTCCGTGGTGGAATCTGCTGTGAGCAGCTCAGTACCTGCCTTAGGGATGAGGTCTATATATGAGTATATAAGGAGAAGCTTGGAGAAAGGTCTGTGAGCTTTTTGGCATGCTTGGTCCTACATTTAGCTGTCTCCATTCAGCAGCCTGCCATGTTACCTGCTGATCTTGGGACTGTTTCTGGACTTGAACCAGTGGCCTGCCGTGTTGCTTGATACTCTTGGGACTGTGCTGTTTTCTTTGTTGACCTTGGATTTGTCAGCCTCAGCAGCCAGCAGCAGCTTGAGTTAAGAGATGCCTCCAGCTCCAGTGGGTTGGGAGCAAGAAGCAGAGCTGAAGCCCAAGTTCAAGGGGCTTTCATCCAGGCTCTAGAGCTGACACTTTGAACTCAGATTTCTAGCCTCCTAAACTGTAAGAGAATAAATCCCTTTTAAAACCATATATTTATGGCATGTCTGTTACAGCAGCACTGGAGAACCAAAACAGAAACTAACTTTTAATCTGCTGAGCAAAAAATGAAATTTATTCAAGGGCTCTTATCTCAAGAAGCCCAAAGTACAACTGCAGCTAACTTTAGAAAAGGGTTAGATTAGGTTAGAAATCCAGTAGGACTGTCTTCTGTCTCATCTCTGCTTTTTTTTTTTTTTTTTTTTGTTGACTTCATTTCTGTCTCTGCAAACAATTTTCTCTGTGTCTCAGGCTAAAGTGTAGTCTAAATATCCATTCCACTGCTTCTAGTTTATAAGTTACAGGTTCAGTCATCTATAAAAACTAACATTCTCAGGGAGTTAAGATGGCATCCTACTAATAGACTGCACACCAGATCCCTCTTTCAACAGAGATTTTGAGAAATTCAGTAAAACAAATACAAATAATGATTCTGGAGTTATGAATATCTAATGAGAAGATAAAACATTAGATCCAGGGACGATTGGGAAAGGGGGAACAGATTAAGTGAGTGGGGAAAATAAAAAAGCCAACCAGCTGGCAGAGCTGAGAAAAGTCATTAGAAACAGAAAGGAGGTCAAGAAGGGAAAAAAACCTTCATGGAACCCACAGATGATAAAAACACAGAGTAGACAGATTGGGAGGTTTTCAAGGTGAGCTCAAGCTGCTCATGTGGGCAAAGATTGTGTTGAGAAATAAGTCAGGCTGCCTCAGACTCTGGTAGGGAGTTAGAAAGGGAAGAGAAATTCTGTCCAAATCCCTAAATTGGACCCATGGCAGTAGGCTCAAATCTAACACTTAGCAATCCTTTTTAGTATATAGTGGAACTGAGGCCTGGGATTCTGGGCTTGTGGATCCTCATGCAGAAGGACTGTCCTCCTTTGGGGTGGCAGGTGGGCTTGAACTGCAAGGCTTTGACTGGTGGTCGAGTGCCACCATCAGCAAACCACTCCAAACAGATGCATGGCCTACAGCTGTCCTCCACTCCTGCACTGTCCTCCACTGGCTGAACTCTCTCACCCTAAGCACAATAAACAAGCTTTAGCCTTTTCCCCTGGAGGTCACTTCTTGCACCAACCTTCTTTCTCCTATGCAGGTACTCCAGTGAATGCATAGATTCTGCCACAACAGCCAGCTCCTAGGGCCTGTAGCTGAACATAACTAGAAAAATCCCTCCTCAATTACCTTATCCTCCCTTTTTCTAATTTTCTCTTACCCAATTTTTCTTCCTTTTTATCTGATCATTTACGCCTTTACCTCCTTGTCCTCTATCAGTCATACCAATCCTTCATTCCTCTCACCTGCCCACTTTTGTTTTCTCTCTCATTCTTATATTTTTTTTTTCCTTTTTCTCTATTCCATATTATCTTTTTTTTTTAATAGTCTGGCTAGAAGGGCCATATTAAGTAATTCACTGCACCTCAGCTGGAGTAGAGTTTCCCCTGGTTGGAGGTGCCAGATGATGTCACATATGTTTGCCAAGGCAAACAGAGCCTAAGTCTTAGGGGTTTGTCAGGAGTACTCTTTTTTTTTTTTTCTTTTCTTACTGTGATTTGGGTGAAAGTTTACAGAGCAAATTCACTGTCCATACAGCAGTTCACACATACTTTGTCTCTTGACATTGACTACAATTTATCCCAATGCAACAGGTCCATATCATCTATTTTTATTCTATCTTTTCATCTCTCCTTCTCTTTGGCTTGCCTTTTTTTTCCCCTGCTTCATCCAGTGTAGGGAACATATTAATCCTCCACTAGTCAGCCATAGCTACTACACTTGACCACTCACTTAACAGATGAGTAACACTAATAGCTCCTGCACCACAGGATCAATGATGGATGGTGGATAACACTTGCACATCCCAGCTGCAATTCCTTTTCATGACGAACAGAGACCTGCACCCATGCCATTGCCAGTTACTCTATGAAAACAGAGGTAGCTGGTGTGCATCCCAGTACAGCCAGGTTGACAAACAAAGAAGTACACCTGTTCCACACATCCAGATATATTAAAACAAAATAAAATATAAACACAGAGAAAACTGGAGAATGCCCTAGTACAGCCAACTTAACAACCAAAGAAGTACACATGTTCCACACTTCCAGATATATTAAAGTAAAACATAAAACCAGGGTGAAACAAATCAGTAGTACATAACTAATAAAGACAGCAACTTCAGAATATCTATGAAACAACTAGCTTTAAATCAAACAATAGCAACAACAAAAATAGCACAGGATAATAGAAACAAGTGTTCAAACTAAAGAATTAGGAAATCTTCCTGAGGAAGAATGAATAATAGAACTATCTGATAAGGAATTCAAAACATTTTATATATATATATAATA